ACAGACGGTGTTACTTTTCTAGTCAGGCAACAAGAGATGCTGATCCCACTGGGGTGTACCATCTACAAGGGAAGTCTGGCTGTGCATGGGTGGTAAGCTAGGTCCCACGTAGCTTTCGGGCAATGAAACAAGGATTTCTTTTCTGAGGTTCAGCTATTGATTCTTCCTGGAATCAGGATAAACCTGCCAACCTGAGGCTCCTGATAACCTTCCTGGGATCAGGCCCCTCCTTCTTCCTACTCCCCTTTTCCTCCGATTCCTCTACAGTCCATGTACCCTCTTTAAGATTCCTCTTTTCTCTCCTGTTTCCTCCTCGAGTCCCATCCTCCCAATCAAGTATCACACATAGAGACTGGCAAGGGAATGGAGGGATGCCAGGTACCAGGGGAGGCCTGGGACGAGCCAGAGGGCATGACGTCTGGCTCCAGCCAACAGCTGCTGCATAGGCATAAAGGTGACTTGTTCCCAGATCCTTCTACTTATCTGGAGATCCTCGACCTGTTTTGTGTAAAAGTCTGCATTTTAAATGTTGGCATTTTTAGCTAGACCCAGAGACTTGAAACGATGAGAAACCTGGTTTCCGCATCTTTGAATAAATTTCATTCAAACATTCACAGAACAGGACAACATAGGCGGTGTGACTGCCGCTGGAGGGCCAAGGAGGCGGCAGGCCCAGCCAGTCCTCGCCAAGAGGTCACGGCAGGCGCCAGTGTCTGGGAAGGTGTTCATTCAGCAAGACGACAGCAGCACCACACACTGCCAGCTCCAGACCAAGGAGAGCCGGATTGATAGGCAGCGGTTTGAAAAAGCAATTCAAACTCTAAGTAACTTTTATGCAGAAGCAGACAATCTTGGGGGCCAATCACATCTTGAAGGCTGTTTTGGCTTCCCCATATTCTTACACATGGAAACCCATTATGAGAAGGTTCTGGAGACAGCGTCCCAGTAGGAGAGTGAGAAGATATATGCTTTCCAAGGCCTCCCCCGACAGATCCTATTGAGAGAGGACTTCGAGTTACTGACATCACCATTTATGAAGACAGAGGTGTGAGCAGTGGGAGATAAACCTAGAACTAAAGATCGCTCCTCCAGCTGGGACCCTCATCTATCCACTGGCCGATCACAGAGTGTCCCCTACCTCCTCTCTGCTGCCAGAGCAACGGCGCCATTTACCCCAAGGACTAACTTTCTAAAATTCCACACCTGGAGTGACCTCTAGTCACTCAGCATCCACTTTGTGTCTCCAAACTGTGTAGGACTCTGTAATCTTTTTATTAGTTTCTGAGAAAACACAATGAAGCATTTCACTTTTTTTTTTTATTCAAAGCCATTGAGGGGCACCTAGGTGGCTCCGTCGGTTGGGCGGCCAACTTCAGCTCGGGTCATGATCTCATGGCTTGTGAGTTTGAGCCCCGTGTTGGACTCTATGCTGACAGCTCATCACCTGGAGCCTGCTTCAGATTCTGTGTCTCCCTCTCTCTCTGCCCCTCCCCGACTTGTGCTCTCTCTCAAAAATAAATAAATGTAAAAAAATATTTTTTTCTTACAGCTGTTAAAATAAGCCATTAGGCAGCTCAACACAAAGCTAATTTCTCATCTGCCACCAGGATGGTGGTTCTCTCATTCCTGGGGCCAGCTTCCCAGGTGGCTCGAGACTTCAGCAAGTCCCATCTTAGCCAGAGTTCAGTCTTCTTTCCCCCAAAGTCAGAAAATACTTTTCTCCAGGATTTTGGTGAAAGGTAGGCTGTGTCTGTGGTTTTGCTGACGCATCTCCCATATCTCAGAGAATTACCAGTTTTGCATGACCAAAATCTTAAAGATCGATTTCTGCTGTTCAGTTTCTCCAACTGAAGCTCATTGGAAAAATAATGCATAATGTTATTTGTTTTGTTATAGCAATTGTTCCTAATTAAAACAGTATTTAGTGCAATTTCCAGTTATTTTTCTTTGGAGAATTTTGCTATTGCATTACCTTGAATGTTGGGAGGATGTAGTATGTGTTGCGTGTTCCTTACAAAAATAAGTAAGCACAATAAAGTGGATGCTAAACTATCAAACACATAAATGTCCCTGCCCTGTCCCTGAAGGTGTAATAAGCAAGTATAATAAATATTTTAATCATAGTTTTGTTATAAACATAAATTATGAAAAAAATATTTGATAGGAATAATACCGTATATTCCTAATTTTTAACTTGTCCCTACTGGCAAACCTTATGATTGAGAGACCTTCCTCATATACAGTATTCAGTGCACAGAAATCCTAGGATTGGTTCAAGTACAGTAAGTTCAGTGAGTTCCAACTAAAACTCTTAAGTCCGAGTCCGTGTTTATAGTTCTTCTGGCGATATGTTTTTGGTTTCAGGGTTTATTATGCCCTTCATTCATCTTTGGGGTTTGAGAGCACTGTATTTGGGAGAAAGTTAAAAAATATATTAGGAAAGAATGAAACAGCTAAAAGTTTTACTTTCAGAGATACTCTAGGTGCTACTGGATTTCATATTTCAGACTTGGTTCCCTCTATGGATCTGTTAGTTATTCAGTAAATCCCATTAGTCTGTGTAATATTTTAATTGTATAAAATTCCTTTGTTACTTTATAGCCTGTGATAATGTATGCCTTTTACACCTGTTACAATAACTTTACTGAAATAATAACACATTAGTAAAGCTTTTCTTTTTTTAATTTAAAAAAATTTTTTTAATGTTTATTTATTTTTGAGAGAGAGGGAGAGACAGAGCATGAGCAGGGGAGGGGCAGAGAGAGAGGGAGACACAGAATCTGAAGGAGGCTCCAGGCTCTGAGCTGTCAGCACAGAGCCTGACACGGGGCTCAAATTCACGAACCGCGAGACCATGACCTGAACTGAAAGTCAGACACTCAGCCA